ATCCTGGGGGTTCTGGATCCCATCCTGGGGGTTCTGGATCCCATCCTGGGGATGCTGGGTCCCGTCGTGGGGGTGCTGGATCCATCATGTGGGGATCAGGGTGAACCCATGGGTTCTGGATCCCGTCCTGGGGGTGCTGGGTCCTGCCCTGGGGGTGCTGGATCCCATCCTGGGGGTTCTGGATCCCGTCCTGGGGGTGCTGGGTCCTGTCCTGGGGGTGCTGGGTCCCATCCTGGGGGTTCTGGATCCATTCCGTGGGGATCAGGGTGAACCCATGGGTGCTGGATCCCGTCCTGGGGGATCAGGGAGCTCTGGAGGGTTCTGGATCCCATCCCATGGGGATCAGGGTGATCCCGTGGGTACTGGATCCCATCCCGGGGGGGATCTGCTCCCGCTGATCCCCCGATCCCGCCGTGACCGCAGCACCTGCGCGTGGGCTGGGAGCAGCTGCTGACGACCATCGCCCGCACCATCAACGAGGTGGAGAACCAGATCCTGACCCGCGACGCCAAAGGGATCAGCCAGGAGCAGATGCAGGAGTTCCGGGCCTCCTTCAACCACTTCGACAAGGTCCGGGATCCCGGGGATCCGCTGGGGGGGGATCCTGGGGGGATCTGGGATCCCGGGAATCCGCTAGGGAGCGATCCTGGGGGGATCTGGGATCCTGGGAATCCGCTGGGGAGCAGTCCTGGGGGGATCTGGGATCCTGGGAATCCGCTGGGGAGCGATCCGGGGGGATCTGGGATCCTGGGATTCCCACCCGGAGCAGCCCTGCGGGTTATTCCCACCCGGAACGTGGGAGCTGCCCCCGGATTTCCCTCATTTCCTGTTGTTTCCCCATTTCCCTCATTTCCTTTTTCTCCCCGGATTTCCCTCATTTCCTTTTTCCCCTTTCCCTCTTTTCCCCTTTCCCTCCTTTCCTGTTCCCCCTTTCCCTCATTTCCTGTTCCCATTTCCCCCATTTCCCATTTCCCCCATTTCCCATTTCCCCCATTTCCCCCATTTCCCCTTTCCCTCATTTCCTGTTCCCCTTTCCCTCATTTCCCATTTCCCCCATTTCCCCTTTCCCTCATTTCCTGTTCCCCTTTCCCCAGGACCACGGCGGTGCCCTGGGCCCGGAGGAGTTCAAGGCGTGTTTGATCAGTCTGGGCTACGACGTCGAGAACGACCGGCAGGTACTGCCCTCTTCCTCTTCCTCTTCCTCTCCTTCTTTCCTTCCTTCCTTCCTTCCTTCCTTCCTTCCTCCCTTCCTCCCTCTCCTTCCTCTCCTTCTTCTCCCTCTTTTCCTCTCCTTCCTCTTCCTCTTCTCCTCCTCTTCCTCTCCCTCTTTTCCTCCTCTTCCTCTCCTTCCTCTCCCTCCCTTCCTCTCCTTCCTCTCCTTCCTCTGCCTCTTCTCCTCCTCTTCCTCCCATTTCTGGGCCCCTTTCCTCCTCTAACGAATTCTCTGCTTTTCTCTTCCTCCTTCCTCTTCCTCCTCCCTTTCCTTTTCCCCCCGGAAGCCGAAACGCCGCACGGACTCCAACGACTTCCGCGCCCTGCTGGGCCCCGCGGGATCCGGCCTGGTAACGATCCCGTTCTGCTCCGCTTCCTCTTCTTTCCACCTTTGATTTCTTTCCATCAAATATTTTTATGTTTATTTCAAATATTTTCATATGTCCTTCAAATATTTTTACATTTCCTTCAAATATTTTTATATTTATTTCAAATATTTTCATGTGTCCTTCAAATATTTTTACATTTCCTTCAAATATTTTTATATTTATTTCAAATATTTTCATGTGTCCTTCAAATATTTTTACATTTCCTTCAAATATTTTTATATTTATTTCAAATATTTTCACGTGTCCTTCAAATATTTTTACATTTCCTTCAAATATTTTTATTTCAAATATTTTCATATGTCCTTCAAATATTTTTATGTTTATTTCAAATATTTTCATATGTCCTTCAAATATTTTTATGTTTATTTCAAATATTTTCATATGTCCTTCAAATATTTTTATGTTTATTTCAAATATTTTCATATGTCCTTCAAATATTTTTATGTTTATTTCAAATATTTTCATATGTCCTTCAAATATTTTTATGTTTATTTCAAATATTTTCATATGTCCTTCAAATATTTTTATGTTTATTTCAAATATTTTCATATGTCCTTCAAATATTTTTATGTTTATTTCAAATATTTTCATATGTCCTTCAAATATTTTTATGTTTATTTCAAATATTTTCATATGTCCTTCAAATATTTTTATATTTCCTTCAAATATTTTTATATTTATTTCAAATATTTTTACATGTCCTTCAAATATTTTTATGTTTATTTCAAATATTTTTATATTTCTTTCAATTATTTTTATATTTCTCTTAAATATTGTTAAATTTTCCTCAAATATTTTTATATTTATTTCAAATATTTTTATATTTTCTTTCAAATATTTTTATATTTCCCTCCAATATTTTTACATTTCCCTCCAATATTTTTATATTTCTCTCAAATATTTTTATATTTTCTTTCAATTATTATTATTTGAAATATTTTTACATTTCCCTCCAATATTTTTACATTTCTCTCTGATATTTTTACATTTCTCTCCAATATTTTTACATTTCCCTCCAATATTTTTACATTTCCCTCCGATATTTTTACATTTCTCTCCAATACTTTTACATTTCCCTCCGATACTTTTACATTTCCCTCCGATATTTTTACATTTCTCTCCGATATTTTTACATTTCCCTCCAATATTTTTACATTTCTTTCAAATATTTTTACATTTCCCTCCAATACTTTTACATTTCCCTCCGATACTTTTACATTTCCCTCCGATATTTTTACATTTCTCTCCGATATTTTTACATTTCCCTCCGATACTTTTACATTTCTCTCCGATACTTTTACATTTCTCTCCGATACTTTTACATTTCTCTCCGATATTTTTACATTTGCTGATGGGCGAGGTCGGGCGGGGCGGGAATTCCCAGCGGATCCCGGGAGCGCGTCGGATCCCTGGAGAACCTCCGGACGTCCTGGCAGATCTCCGCAATTCCCAGGGCTTGCGGGGGGGGAATAATAAAATAAAACCTCGGGAATTCCATGAAAATCCGGGATTTTCCACGGAATCCCCGCGGCGATCCCCGCAGGGCGACGCGGAATTCCAGCGGATCATGGCGGTGGTGGATCCCAACGGAAGCGGCAGCGTCACCTTCCAGGCCTTCATCGACTTCATGTCCCGGGAAACCACGGACACGGACACGGCCGAGCAGGTCATCAACAGCTTCCGCGTGCTGGCCGGGGACAAGGTCAGCCGGAATTCCGGGAATGTGGGGTTGGGGAAGGGGGAAATGGGATTGGGAATGGGAAATGGGATTGGGAATGGGAAATGGGGTTGGGGAATGGGGAATGGGGTTGGGGAATGGAGAAATGGGGTTTGGGAATGGGGAATGGGGTTTGGGAATGGGGAATGGGATTGGGGAATGGGAAATGGGGTTTGGGAATGGGAAATGGGGTTTGGGAATGGGAAATGGGGTTGGGGAAGGGGGAAATGGGATTTGGGAATGGGAAATGGGGTTTGGGAATGGGAAATGGGGTTTGGGAATGGGAAATGGGGTTTGGGAATGGGGAATGGGATTGGGAATGGGAAATGGGGTTTGGGAATGGGAAATGGGGTTTGGGAATGGGGAAATGGGATTGGGGAATGGGGAATGGGATTGGGAATGGGGAAATGGGATTGGGGAATGGGAAATGGGGTTTGGAAATGGGAAATGGGATTGGGAATGGGGAAATGGGATTGGGGAATGGGGAAATGGGATTTGGGAAGGGGAAAATGGGATTTGGGCGTTCTGGGAGTGTCAGAGAGGGGATTGGGAAAGGAAAATGGGATTTGGGAATGGCACAGTGGAGTTTGGGAAAAGGAAAGCGGGATTTGGAAATCGGGGAATGTCACAGAGGGGATTGGGAAAGGGAAAGGGGGATTTGGGAATTCTGGGAATGTCATGTCAAGGTTTGAAGAGAAAAATGGGATTTGGGAATTCCAGGAATGCCAGGATTTGGCCCCTAGTTGTGCTCAGGGCTACCCGTAATCCCCAAATCCCATCTTCCCTTTCCCAATCCCCATCTTCCCTTTCCCAATCCCCATCTTCCCTTTCCCAATCCC